TCATTATTTAGGTCATTCTCCAAGTGAAAGGGATGTGTTTCATCCAATGTGAATGTTCCTTAACATTCTTGAGGGTAACCCAACAGCATAAAGAAGATATTGGCAGTGGAGAGGAAAAAACCTAGTAGTGTTTATTGGAGTTCAATTTAAAATGGACACTTCTTCTCCCCAATTTTATTAACAATAAAATGATTGCTTCTGTGAGCAAAATAATTTGCAAGTGTAAGTAGAGTAGGATAAGTTGACTTAGCAAATCACAAATCATGGGTTAAGGCTTACATGGGTAGAAGCACAAGCTATACACTATTAAGATAATATTTGCACTCAAATATTTTTTTATCTAACATCCAAATCCAAGCAACTTATATAAAACGAAAATGTACCTCACGAACTACTACTAAAGAATGTCTGCACTTCAAATGCCTCGAATAACTCTTAGTAACAATTGATAAAGAAAAGCTAATAAAAGATGATATAGGTAAAAGAAATCAAAATATAAGATACATCATCATCATTAATCTGGTAGGAACTATGTGCAGTTCGTTTTATAGATAATCCTTCATAATTCATTCATATTCATTGCTAAATGAAAAGTTACGTCAATTTACATAAACATTTTAGCTTATCTTACATTCACATTACATTTGATCTGTCAGTTCTTCTTTAATAATCCTCTCGCATTAATTTCAGCTATCCTATTCTTACATCTTTTGTCCCCACACATGCGCATGCCTAATGATTTAAATTTGTTTTCATTATGTTATCCCCAATAGATGCTACTCTACCATTTAATTGTCATTTATGTGCTATTAATCTTAGGGGGTGTTTGGCAGCACACTTTTGACAGGATTTAGCCATGCATTTCACCTAAATCCAGCTAAATACCAAAAAAAAGGAAAAACTAAATCGAACTCTCTCCCGTGCCGTCTCTTTCTCACCTGTTGTGTATCCTCTGCGACGTAAATCTGGATTTATCAAATCCTACTGTGCGGCGAATTATGCAGATTTACTCCGATGTTGCTCTCATGCTCCATCTCCGTTGCGTCTGTCGTGAGCTATAAATCCAACGTAATGTAAATCTATAGCTGCAGCCAAACACCGCCTTAGTTTTACCAAGCATCTATATGAATGTTCTCATTTCTACAACGATAAACTTGGTCAAAGACTTCATTATTGCCCTACACATCAATAAACATAAAATAGTATGTAGAATTTTAAATTTATAAAGTTAAACTTAATTTGATTACCTATAATCCCCAAATAAAATAATTAAGAAACCTCATAATACTGACATTCAATAAGAAGTTATTTTTCAAGATCTAAAAATTCCAAATAGCATACAACGTAATATTTCACCAAAAACACCTCTTTTAACTAGTTTCAACTTAGATGCCCACAAGTGATTGAAACTAAATCCTAGAAGAAAATTTCATTGAAGTGAGATACAATTGATTTTAGTAATTTTAAATAAACATAGGCATTACAAACTCATTTAAGTCGTGCCTTAAAACCCATTTCTTATGCATGTCTGAGTTATAATGGATTTCACATAATGAAAGCTAAATACTACTTAACTAATTAATTTATATCTTCTTAACCTAACAAGAAAGATAATTTAATATCATAATCATTATGTAATACTCCTTAGGCTATTAAAATTAAAGTAGTTACTGCACAACAAATAAAAATTAATTTAGGGTTAAGGTAGCATATTTGACTCCCAATAATGTATTTGACTTAATGTTAGCCCATTGGACTCCTTAGGTTAAAGGATGCGAGGTCAACCACAAGAGAAGAGTTCAACTTTGTCTTCTTGCCAGTGTGAAATAGCGCGAAATTGGGAGAGAAGGGATCAATAGCCGGAAGAAATTTATTTTTAATAATTTTAATTTAAAACTTTAAATTATAAACTCATTTAAGTCGTGCCTTAAAACCCATTTCTTATGCTTGTTTGAGCTATAATGGATTTCACATAATGAAAGCTAAATACTATTTAACTAATTAATTTATATCTTCTTAACCTAACAAGAAAGATAATTTAATATCATAATCATTATGTAATACTAATTAGGCTATTAAAATTTAAGTAGTTACTGCACAACAAATAAAAAATTAATTTAGGGTTAAAGGTAGCATATTTGACTCACAATAATGTATTTGACTTAATATTAGCCCATTGGACTCCTTAGGTTAAAGGATGTGACGTCAACCACAAGAGGAGTTCAACTTTGTCTTCTTGCCAGTGTAAAATAGCGCGAAAGTGGGAGAGAAGAGATCAATAGCCGGAAGAAATTTATTTTTAATAATTTTAATTTAAAATTTAAAATTATTAAAAATTTATGTTAATCTTTCTTTTGCATTATAATGTAATTTGTTTTTTGGATTTTGGTGTTTTACTAATTATGTTGTTTCCTTTCAAGTTTAAAAGGTAGTATGTTCACCTTTATTTTCTTAAGTATTTTATTTATTTTATCAATAGAAGTTATCCCACACTAATTGTTGCATGTTATCTTATTGCTACATTGGAGTAAAAATGTTTTAATGCTAGAGTGAAACAACAAAAATATTAATTTATGCAATCTTAATTCACTATACAATGAATTAATTTTACTTAATGCTCTCAAATTATCATATATTCTTCATTTTAAACACCCACTTAAAGGTTATATCTTTTTTATTACAAACTAAACAGATATATCAAACACTTGTAATGTTTGTAAATTATTGTTTTTTTTTTCTTTTTTTTAACTTACAACTCCATCCTCATTGAGACTTGCACCTCGCCTCATTTAGACAATACACTTCAACTCCCAATGGCTTATTTAAACCTTGCTCCAAAATATTTGGCACCAACCAATCATAAAATAGGTACATTTATCATTTTTAAGTATTATTTGTCAAGTCATTTAGCTTAACAGCACCCCCATCATGACTTGGCTCTGGAATCCACATATTTTGAAACCATGCTCATAGCTATATTTGCAAGAATGTCAAAGGCACAACCACATCCTACGAGATGATGAGTTTGTGAGCAATCCACTTAGGTACCTGATGTCCTTACACTTCCCTCGATAGAAGATGAATGAAACTGCACAGCAATCTTTCATGTGTGTCATCATTAATAAAAAATATTGCAAATTGCTTAACAATAGCAACAATAATGAATGTGATTTCCAAAGTAACCTTCTCTTACATCAACCTGATACTCGAATCACACCGTCACAGAATTCATATAACTTGGGACATTAAAACATCAATCCCCATTGCCAAAAAACATGCATTCTCATTCAACTTGGCAGTTGCTCAGCACAAAATCTCGAAATGCCCTCCCTATGAAGATCGCAATTTCTTTTTGGACCAACCTAAGTGGCTATAACCTCACACTTTAGGCGTAATGATATACATTTTTTCAAGAAAAAATGGAAAAAATTCACTAAGATCGGGTCCTCAAAACCTCATACACTCACCTCCATTCGCCGTATTGCATTATCATAACTCAATCCTCTCAAATATGTTTTAATGCAATTTATTTACCTACGAAAATTTCACAGAGAAAATTAAGAGTCATGTTGCTTATCCACATGTCATGCAAAGTGAATCATTTCACCAAGCAATTAATACTTGAATTAATATATGTTATTTCCTAAGATCTTAGACCTCGCTACTAAGGAGTCCCCACCCAATACAAACATGATATTCAATATTTCATTGATTTCATTCAATGTTCATAACTGTCCAACTTCCACCCCTATCAAATGAACCCAAAAGGTCGGATTTGGGGGCTTTTATATAATGATTTAGTTTGTGAAATCATTAACCCTTATGTTGTTCTCAGCATTCTTGCACCAAAAAGAGCAGCAGTTCACATATATGAACTAATAATAGGGTAACTAATAGGATGTTATTAGGTACAGACCCCAGTTCATCAATTTAATGATATTATTTATCTTGTTTTTTGTTGCTTTTTCATTTCAAAAATTGACTAATGCAGTGGGTATTACCAAATCAAGATATGTCTCGAGGATGAATCGGAAACAACTTTGAAGGCCCATGAGGGTCCGTGCAATCAAATGGCAATCCAGCTATGCTTTCACATGAATCATGGTAAAAGTGTTACTAATATTCACTATTATGTTTCTTATCAACGATAACCTCATTTTTTGTGCTATCAAAACTAACCTTTGACGTGTACATGGTCCTAAACAGTCCACAAAAAAATTAAACCTTATACCAATCTTAAAAAGTGTCTCTTTCTACAACCTAAGAGTCTTGCCCGACCCCATTGTGGACTCAAAAAATTCATGACCGACTCTCCTAAGACAGTTTTAGTAATTTTGGGTCAAATTTTTAGATGAAAAGTTAGATTTTTTTTTTTTTATGCCTAGAGATTTCTCCCTCATTTATGAGGATTTTATGATATGGTTGCAAGTTTTCCATAACCATAACCCTTATGATTAATTGTCCTTCCCGGTAAATAGAAAATTTTTCTCTTATGGCTAGCCATTGGGCATAAAATGCTTAGTGTAGAGTAATAACAAATTTGATTTTAGACTAAAAAAATTACCATTGTTAGCTTAGAGAGCGTGATGATGAGAGTGATAACAAAATCAATTAAATCATATGGTTTCCTCATCCCATATTGTCTTAAATGTTGCTCTACATGGCAGATAGATGCAGCGCATAGAGCTGATCAACCAAATCATCACATATCAAAATCAGATACATGCAAGCTAAGGTCCTTCATCTCAATTTCTATTTTCTACCTATTTCCTCTCCATATTGATAAAAGGTATGATTCACAAGCATCCGTTACATCCAAAGTCCATCACCCATCAAGTTATTTTCTTAACATATCAAATAATAAAACAAATTAACTGGTGAGTGAAAATGTCTTATCCCTCCAAATTTCATCCTAAATGCATCTCAATCAATAGAACTAGTTAAATAGTAGAAAAATCAGAAAGTTGCGGTCCTACTAGAAAAATATGAGGTGACCATACCAATAAATCTTCACACACTGATCCTGTTTTCCAGCTTGAATTGTTTGTAAGGCCAGGTCATGCATTAAGGGCAAAAGCCTTGGAGGAATTAGAGTCGGAGGTTTGTATATGGCTGTCTCCAAGCTTTTCCCTTGTTGATCGGAATTACTGGCAGATGATGGCTTCCTCTCCCCCTCACCTTGCTGACCAGGTGACCCAGTAGCTGGCCTCAATGAACTAGGTAGACACTCAAAAAGACGGTCTGGCTCCACAGGTTTGCTGTGATAAAACACACAAATGTACGAGAAACAAGTTAAGCTATTGTAGCATGAAATAAATGAAAGATAATCCTCAATGATTTTTATCGTAATCCACAACTATCTTTTTTTGCAAAATAAGATAATTGTGGAAGCTCAAATATAACCTAAAGGAAAACATATGTTCGGTTATCCTTTTGTGCAAGGAATTCAGAGCATATTGCAGTATCCATTTAAAAAATTGATAAATAAACCTGAAAGTAGAAAGGAGCTGCCTAAATTCCTCCTCTAGTTTCATAATGGCCTTAGAGAGCAAAATATTTGCATGGTTAAGCACCCCATCAGACCATTTAAAGGTTTTATTTGAGGTGAAGAATTGAACATTTCTTCTCAACTGATCAATTGCCTCCAAATAACTTTCCAAGTCTTCATGTGGACCTCTCAAGATCTTAGCCTCAGCCTACATACAGATTCAAACAACAAACAACATTCAGATCCCAGAAAGTTCATATTTTTCCACACCAAAATCAAATATTTCAAGTTATTCAAGCACATTCTCCGAATAAATATAGCAGAGAGAACCAAGTTTTAAAAATTATGCAGTGTGGTTCCCAAAGAAAATTCTTCGAAATCCAGAATCAAGAAGCATTGCAGAGGAAAGTATAATAGAATCCTGTATTGTTATATAAGCAAACAATCAAAAAGCAACATTTCAGTAAGTTACGCGGGCAAAAATTACATGTATGGGGCCTCAATTTTCAAATCTAAATAATAAAAAATATATAAAAAGATTTATACTAAAAATTCCCCAAAAAAACACTCGTGCAACCCACTATGGACCATGAAGGACAAACCTGACCTGGCTCGAAAGACCAACAAGCAAGAACCATAATTTATTCTCAGAGAGAGAGAGGGAGAGATCAAACCTGACGAGTGATATCAAATTGACCAAGTATAACGTCGGCAGACTTCAACGTCTTATCGATGTTCTCGTGCGCCCTTCTAATCGCATGCGTCCGCACCTAAAACACAAGGTCTATGAACCATTATCAAAATTGAAAGCACAAAAGATCCACCCCAAACCAATGAATTTCACACCCATCGATTGTTGGAGAAAAGCTCCACAATTGCTCAAAAAACACTCCCAGGGTTCAAACTACACCAAACCGCCCAGGAACTAACCTCCTAACCTAAAGTACACACCAGGGAAAAAATAGTGCAAGTACAGACCTGGGTGGGACGCATGGCAGATTCGAGAGCAGACAGTCGGTGGTCGAAGGAACCGAGGATGTCGACCATGTTGCCGGTGATGGTCTGGCTCTTCTGCAACGATTCTCTCAGGAGTGTCGCCCTCTCCTTCAGGACTTCTATAGCCGGCGTAACTCCCATGGCTTCAGCTCTCATCCACTTCGTCTGCTCGGAAGTCCTCCCCTCGATCTGCACTCAGAGGACTCCCACCTTCGCTTGCAAGCGAATCAAAGCCAGCCTGGTTGACTGCCGAGGACTATTATTTCCGGATTGTTAAATTAGTCCTCGCTTATTATTTTATTCGCCTTCTACCACATTACAAGGAAAGTTGGGGTTCTTTGTGTAAACCTGTAGAAATTGTTCCGTGCACCGCTAACGGTTTGATGATGCGATGATAACGTATCATTGCAGCTTCTTTGGCCCAATGGCCAGTATTTTTTAGGGGCTAATTACATAAATTGAATTCAAAATTTTGTAATCAACAAAATTAAATTTTTTTTATGGGTTTTTCAAATTCTCACTCAAACATCAAGATCTCAACCCTTATTTTCATTTTTACCAAAATTCTCTGAGAATTGCCTAAATTCAAAAACTAAAAAAAATGATATTTGATTGACAAAAATGAAACTTACTTATCTTCGAATAATATGAATAATAGTTGATGAATGTCGGAAGGTTTTAAAGAGAAGTACGACAAGACATTTCAACATTTTATATGGAAAATTCTAGAAAAAAGAAAAACCACTACGTTTAGTTAGTTGAAATAATTCACTATGAATAGTGAGTACACGGGTTCACTCTTCACACGAATTATGAATGATGAATTTACAAAGTTAATCATTATGAATGTACAACAGTGGTTCTTCGATAATAGATGTAGTCCGATTATGATAAATGTAATTCTTGATAATATAAGCCGCAAGGGTAATACTCGATTGCTATGGAGGTCATAGTAAATTTATAAACATGCAGAAGTCGAATGTGAGTGTTGTAAACGGTGGTTGTAGCACCATCTTGCTATATAGACTGTAGTTGAAAGTCATGGTAGTGGTTGGATATGTGGGTCGTTGATGGTTGTTTCAGGAGCGTTGTTTGGCCACAGAGATCGTAGCAACCTAGCAGGAAGCTGCAGGAGATGTAGGTCACATGGGTCATATTGGTGAGCTTTCATGCGTCCGTACGCTGCAAAGGTCGGAGTCGCGAGTTGCGCTAGTTGTGAATCAAGTAGGTCGTAGTGGGTCATGTAGTCCGCAGTGATAAGTTGTGATGACATTCCTAAGTTGCGAGGGTCAGAGCAAAAAACTGCACGAGATATGATCCACATAGACCGTAGTCGTGAGTTGTGATGATATATGATGGCCACGGAGGCTGAAATCAGAAGTTACACGAGATGTGAACCAAGTAGATTGCAGTAGTGAGCTGTAGCGACATTCATAGGCCGCGGGAGTCGGAGTTAGGAGTTTTATGAGCTACGAACCAAGTAAGTTATAGTTGTGAGTTGTGGCAATGTCCATAAGTCACGTGGGCTAGAGTGGAAAGATGCACAAGCTGTAAACCACGTAGGTTGTAGCTGGTCACATTAGTCATTTTGGTGAGTTATGATGACGTTTGTTGGTTATGAGGGTCGGAGTCGGGAGTTGCGCCAACTGTGAACCACGTAAGCCATAATGGTGAGTTGTGACGATTTCTGTAGAGTGAGATAGTTGGAGTTGGAAGCTAAACAAGCTATGAACAACATGAACCATAATTGGTTACCGAAGTCGTCATGGTGAGCTGTGACAAATTCTGTAGGAAGTGAAAGCCGAGTCAAGAGCTGCACGAGTTATAAACTATATAGGTCGTATTTAGTCACGTAAGTCATAGTGGTGAGTTGTGGCATCGTCTGTAATCTTCGGGAGCCGAAGTTGGGAGCTACACATAAGTAATTTTAAGGGTCTAGAGAAATTCGCCGTCTTTGAGGTGTATTGTTGCACAACCTTTGGGAGATGATATTGCATCACAAGTTGGGTAAGTTGTTACTTCGCACTATATATTAGAATTATGTGGTGCATGTTATGAATTCACAATGGAATTTGCTACAAGGAGCTTGTGGCTGATGATGATGATCAACAGTGGTTGGAGCAGGCCACGATCAAGGGCGGTGGTGTCCGAAGTTAGCTGGAGGCAACAATAGCCAGAGTTGGATGGTGGTGTTGGCTAGTGGCTACAAGAATGATAAGTCAATAATTGTTGGTTGATGTAATTGCAAAATACTTATGGTGTGTGGTGACGACCATAAGCGAAGATAGTGGCTGGATATGGCAGAGGCTGATGGTGGCAGTGACCGATAGATCTGTGGTGCTGGGCTGCAGCTCCCTCATTTACAAACATTGTTTTCCTCTTGCTCCAAGGTCCAATTCCCTCATCTCATGAGGGGTCTGGGACTCTATTTATATAGTCCAAATTGTAACTAATGAAATAACTCAAACTACTTTCCATTGGATGATTAGAAGAGATTCAATTAATTAGATGATGTTTGAAACACATTTGGCTGTCTTAATAATGTTAGAATTGAGCGATCTTGGGTTGTTTTGATTCGTCTTACCAAAATGCTCGATTTGACCATAAGTAAGTCATAGTTGAAATCTATTTGACTTTCCAATTATGTTAAAAAACCTTTAAAAATATTGAGCTATGAAAACATTTCTAGGCTGCAGGGATCGGAGTCGGGAATTGCACGAGCTAGGTCGTAGTCATGAGCCGTGGCGACGCCTTTCAGCCCCAAGATTGAAGTCATGAGTCACACAAGTTGTGAATCAAGTAGGTTATAGTTTATCGTGTAGGTTTTAATTGTGAGTTGTGACAATGTACGTAGGTTTAGGGGGTCAGAGCTGTGAGATGGACAAGCTGTGAACCACGTAGGCATGGTCGTGAGCTGTGGCAACGTCCATCAGCCTCGTGAAGCGAAGGCATAAGTTACATGAGCTGTGACCCAAATACGCTGTAGTTGGTCATGTATACCATAGTGATGATCTGTAGTGACGTTTGTAGACAATGGGAGCCAAAGTAAGGAGTTACATGAGCTATGAAGCACGTAAGTTGTAGTAATGGGTTTTGATGAAGTTTGTAGGTCGCAGGCCGGATTTGGGAGCTACACAATTTTTGAACCATGTAGGACGTAGGGTGAGATGTGGCAGCATCCATAGGCTGCAGGGCCAGAGTTGAGGGTTGCACAAAATATGAACCGCGTAGGTCGTAATGGTGAGTTGTGACAATGCCCGTAGGCCACGAGGGTATGAGTCAAACGCTACATGAGATGTGAACTACATGAGTTTTAGTTGGTCACATAGGTTGTAGTGGTTAGCTGTGAAGAAATTCAAAGGTCACAGAGGGTCGCAGCCTGAAGTTGCACTGGCTATGAACCACACAGACCGTAATTGTGACCTGTGACAGTGTTTGTAGGTTGCAATAGTCGGAGTTGGTAACTGCATGAGCTATGAACCACACAGACCATAATTGATCACATTTGCTATGATAGTGAGTTGTGATGACATCTGTAGGTCTCATGGGCATAACTTGGGAGATGCATCAGCTGTGAACCACATAAAACATAGTTGATCTCTTAAGCTGTATTGGTGAGTTGTGATGTCATTTGTAGGCCTCAGGAGCTTGAGTCAGAAGCTGCATTGAAGTAGCTTAAGGTTCCAGAGAAATTAACTGTCATTGGGGTGTATTATTACTCCACGTTCGGGAGGTGATTTCACATTGTAAATAGGGTGTGTTGTTACTTCACAATGTATGTCAGGTTTTGTGGTACAATTTATGACTTCACAAGGAAGTTCGCTGCAACTTGCAAGGAACATGTGGTTGCTAATGATGGTCGACAGTGATTGGAGGTGGCTGTGTCCGGGCTTGGTCGGATGCGGCAACAACCTGAGTTGAGTAGTTGTTGCCGAAGTTGGTGGGCAATGTTGGCAGGCGACGTTGGTCAGTGATTATAGGAACGAGAAGTTGATGGTGATCAAAAGTGGCGAGCATCTGTAGGTGCAGGAGGCCGAAGGTGGGCGGCGGCGACTGAAAGCAGCGGTAGCGGCTAAAGGTGGCAGAGGTCAAAGGCGGTGGAGAACGATGGATCTGCAGTGCAAGATGTTGAGTTGTAGCTCCATCCTCTACATGCTCTGGTCTTCCTATTGCTCCATGATCTAGCTCCCACTTCTCATGAGAGGTTTGAGATTCTATTTATAGATTATAAATTTCAAATAATGAAGAAATTCAAACAACTATCGATTGAACGACCTGGAAATATCCACTTGATCGGATGAAGTTTGATAGATATTTGACTGCTTTAATGACGCTTGATCTGACTATAACCATGTCAGTCAGAATCTATTTTGACCTTTCAATCTATGTTCGAAAAAGCTCCCAAAAGTGATTTAATAGCTTGATTTGAGTTTGATTCAATTTGAATCAGACCAATTTTGGAATTGTTGTGCATGTCTCATCTAGCAAGTCAGTTATACTGCAAGTTTGCTAGAATCAGAACTTTAGATGATTTTTAATCAAAATTTGAATGTTTCTTGCTAAAAAATCACCTCGAAATCTGTGTATTGCCTCCATATTTGTGTCAGATTATAAAAATTGTTGGTGGCATATCGATGGAAAGTGTTTGAAGTCTGAATTTATATTTTATGTTTGATTTTAAGAAAAATGAAATCAATATAAAACATGCTCATGATAGGGACAACATTATATGGTTGCGACGCTTGCGTCAGACGGTGTGTAACAACAATCGGCAACAAATAACGATAATGGCAGGTGGCCTGAGACAAGCGATTCTAAGTAAACGATTAGCAACTTACAGTAGTGGCTGACATCTATCAATAGACAATGGTAATTGCATCAATATGATGTGGTTTATAATGTACTTAAAAATCACCTAAATTTAACAAACTCATAATTCACTGAAGTTGAATTAAATGGTAAATTTCAAATTCACCAAAATTTTGAATTGCATTTTATTTTCATCCAATCAAATATCAAAATGTTAAAATCTCTTGCATTTGATTTACATTGCAATACTCATGTATTTGATTTACATTACATTACTCATGCATTTGAGTCACATTGCATAGGTTGCACAACATTTTGTAATCTTTAATTTTATTAATGCAATCTACCCCTCTCAGCCAAACAACCCCAAACAAAATATATAAATATCAAATTCACTGTAGCTTATTGAATAATCTGCTCATAAGTTGATTAAAAAATAATCTGCTGATAAGGATGACTAT